GCACTGAGGCACTTGATCGATAATCTAAAGAGCCATTCCGGCATTGCTTGGGCTACGTGGTGAAGTCTAGTGAATTATTTACTGAACTGGTGTATAGGGAGCCCATGTGCATGTCTCGCCCCTCCTTCCCTCCTACCTTCTTCCCCTCTTCCTCTCTCCTTCCTTCCTTCACTCTTACCTCCCTTCTTTCCTTCTACCCTCCTCTTCTTCCCTCAGTCTACCTCCTTCCCTCTCTTCCTTCTTCCTCCTAACCCACCCCCCCCCCACCCCCACGTTCGTCCTCCATCACACTACCAGTTGGACGCAGGAACCAACACCTGAAGCTTTTAGAAAATTACAGGTGTTGTGGATACTGCAATCACCCACCCCCAGGTGACTTATGTACAGTGTTTACAACTTTTAGTGACGTCAGTAAATGGTACATATGACGCACCAATATATTACACCAATAAGGGGAGGGAAGATTAGTTATGATAATTTAAAATGCACCTGAAGTTATTTGGTGAAACTGCAGGTATATTTTCTTAGTACTGATTACCTGTGATTGTGATAAGGTATTGAAGATTAGCCACCTGTTATTGTTGGGTTCAGTCCCTCACGTACCACCGGGGACAATACCCTTGTCTCACAGCTGGGGGGGGTGACAGAAGAGGAGAGTGAGGAGAGAATAAAGGGAGGGGATGAAAGAAAGAGGAAAAAATTGGAAATCAATCAATATGACGGAGGTGTGACATTGCTTGATTTGGTCACTGCTACAGGTAAGTGCCATGTTGGTCAATGCTACAGGTAAGTGCCATGTTGGTCAATGCTACACTGTCTATCTATCTATCCATCCATCCATAACATTAACACACCATTGAAAATCTCTCTCTCTCTCTCTCTCTCTCTCTCAGCACAGCACCTGAGTTCACCTTGTTATTACCTGTATCCCGTGTTAGGCCCACGAGAAGCCGCAAGGACCACCCTATAGGCCTAATAACCAACCAATGAGAGCCTAGATTACCCTTAAGATAAACTGTAATTGGCCGCTGAGGTTAACTGCTGCCTGGAGACGTAGTTATATCCTTGACGGGGTGAGGGTGGGAGGAGGAGGGAGAAGAGGAGGAGGAGGAAAAGGAGGTTGGTGTTATTATTATCATTATTATTTTTTTTTACACTTCCCTAACCAGCCAGACCACCACCACCACGACCCACCACACGACCCACACCACCACACGACCCACCACCACACGACACCACCACACACCACCACCCGACCCACCACCACGACCCACCACCACGACACACCACCATCACGACCCACCACCACACCACCACCACGACCCACCCACACACCATCACGACCCACCACCACACGACCCACCACCACGACCCACCACCACGACACCACCACGACCCACACACACCACCATCACGACCCACCACCACGACCCACCACCACCACCACATGACCACACCATCCGACCCACCACCACCACGACCCACCACCACGACCCACCACCTCCTCTTACAATTACACCTCGTAAATCTGATGCAGGGAGGGGGAGGGAGGCTAGGGTCATGATCACCTCCTACCACCGCTGGAGGTGTTATTTACTGGACCATACAGGTCATCATGATAATCCCCTCATCTACCTGCCTCTCCTCTCTCATCTATCCCCCTCATCTACCTGACTCCCTTTCCTCCTCATTATCTCTGCCTCCACCTCCTCACCTTCCTGCCTCCTCACCTACCTGACTCCTCTCCCATCTACCTCCTCTCCTCTCTCATCTATCCCCTCATCTACCTCCCTTCCTCTCCTCACCACTTTGACCTCCCTCATCTACCTGCCCTCTCATCTATCCCCCCATCTACCTCCTCTCTCCCCACCCACTTGAATCCTCCCTCATCTACCTGCCTCCTCTCATCTATCCCCTCATCTACCTCCCTTCCTCTCATTGCTCTTAACCCCAAGTAATGAGGCATAAATTGTTCTGCCCAGGTGGGGAGGGCAGGTTGGCTGACGCTGTGAGGATAAAGAGACCTGTTGAGGGGGTGGGAGGTTCAGCAGGGTCTTGAGAGAACAGAAGAGAGGACCTGAGGCGATGATGTGTATTCAGGGCACGATCTTTGTGGCATCAACAAGCTTAAAGACGTCTCTCCACACACACACCTCTCTCTTTTCCTGTTCCGCATCATTTTCTTTCTTATTCCTAATCATCGCTTTTGCCTCTCTTGTTACCGTGTTCTCTCTCTCTGCACATTCACAGCGCAGGCACTCTGAGGCAGCTTGCACCTGTCCTCAAATACGTGTTCTGTTGACGTGTATCTGATCCATGATGCACCAGGTGTGAGGAGGGTGACTATCACCCTTCTCCCCCCAATAACCTCCTCACTTCGGCCTTCTCTCCTCCCTCCCTCCTAAATGTTGCCTCACATACCCGTTAAGAATCGTCTATGTATGGAAATAAAGAAAGTTACAGAAAAAATACACAGAATAAATGGCTCAAAGGAGAGAGAGAGAAAGAGAGAGAGAGACCAGCATCATGGTACAGGATGCTCTTCTCCTGAAGGACGCCGCCGCCAGCTGATTCCTGCTAACCTGTAATGCTTTAAAGGTGACCTGCCACCCCACCCCCTCTCTGCCACCCACTATTGCCGCCCCCTCTGCCACCCACTTGCTGCCGCCCCTCACCCACTATTGCTGCCCCCTGCCACCCACTATTGCCGCCCCTCTGCGTTCCACCATTATTGCCGCCCCCCTGCCAACCACACTATTGCTACCAACCTCCTATCATCTCCTGCCATCCCCCAACATCTCTTTATCCTTTCTACCCACCAACCCACCACTGCCGCCCCACCCCCCACCCACACCGCCATTCTATCATTGCATACATCACGCCATCTTAGCCCCCACTCATACACTGCACCGCCGCCCATTCTATCAACTCACCCATCACGCCATCTTAGCCCTCCCCCGCCCACACTGCATTGCCGCCCATTCTATCAACTCACCCATCACGCCATCTTAGCCCTCCCCCGCCCACACTGCATTGCCGCCCATCATGACGCCCTCCCACCATCAGATCGATAACCTGACGAAGGATACGGCGGGTCATGAGGTCCGCAGCACCTGGTTTAAAGTTGACCTCCTGCAGCGCCTACCACAGCTGGCTCCTATAGAGAGGTCACCTGTTACCCCCTTCAGGAGGCTTAGTTCATAAAAAAAATCTTCAGATGCTGGGGGAGGAGGGGAGGAGTAAAGGAAGAGAAGAGTGAAGGAGAGAAGGAGTGAAGGAGGAGTAAATGAGGAGTGGAGAGAGTGAAGTAGGAGAGAGAGAGAGAGAGAGAGGTATACTTCAGGCCAGTCTGTATAACAAGGCATCGAGCATGGCATCACCTTGAGGGAATACCCGTTACCTCAGGGACGGACGGACGGACCACGACACTCGTTTTGGTTATAGAATCGTGTGTATGCACATTATGCTTCATGTATGTCCTGTCTGTCTGTCTGTCTGTGTGTGTGTGTGTGTGTGTGTGTGTGTGTATTTAAGTACAGTCATCATGTTGTTATCCGCTGTACTTGTGTGTTTTGTACTTCTTTGTGGGAAACTATTTGATGCCAGTACTTGTGTCCGTACCTGTATCAAAACTTACACACACTCCCACTTACAAAACAACGAAATCAAAATAATCTACTTTACCACCAGTCAACAACAACAATTACATAAAACTTCAGCTCTTTACACACACACACACACACACACACACACACACACACACACACACACACACACACACACACACACACACACACACACGTCACATACAACTGTTAAATCCTCCTCTCTCCTTCACTATCTGATACCTCTCCTCTCTCCTCCAAGATCTCCCACCTCCTCCCTCCCTCTCACCCGTTTTCCTCCCCCACCCCACCCCTCCTCCTAACACCCCCAATCCTCCATTAGCCACACTCCATTCTAATTCCCTCACCAACACCTCCCTCCACTTCACCACCTCCCCCTCCCAAAGACCTCTCCTTAACACCCCCTCCCCTCTCACACAGTAGTCAGCTGACCATTAGTACCACCGAGGCGTGAGACAGCATTCGTGACGTTACAGTAAACTTTCATAAAACTGATGGCAAAAGGGTACGATTGTTCACGCGTGGTTGATCTGCCCTGTGAGAGAGAGAGAGACCTGCCCTGTGACACATAGAGGAAGGGAAGGGGGAAGCGACATGAAAGAAAAATGCAAGAAGGGGAGAGAATAAAGAGGGGAAGACAATGAAAAGAGAAACAAGGAAAGAGAATGGAGAAAGGAAGGGCGAGAGGGAGAGAATAGATTGAGACGAACGAGATAAAGAAGGAATGGAGGAATACGGGAAGGGAGGAAGAGGGAAGAAAGGAAAAATGAGATGAAAGATTGAAGGAAGGGAGGAAAGGAGAGAGGAGGCAAAAGGGAAGGAAGGAAGATTAAGATAAAGGAATGAAGGGAGACAGAAGGGAGAAAGAATGAGATGGCGGAAGGGAGGAAGGAAGAAGGGAGAGAGGAGGCACGAGAGGAAAAAAGGCAGGAGGAATGAGATGAAGGAATGAAGGAAGGAGGGAAAGAGAATAAAAAGAAGGAATAGTGCTCACTGAGAAGAGAAACTGAATGATGCAGATCACTGAAGTGTGACTGTGGGGAGATTAACTGGAGCGTGACTGTGGGGAGATTAACTGGAGCGTGACTGTGGGGAGATTAGCTGGAGCGTGACTGTGGGGAGATTAGCTGGAGCGTGACTGTGGGGAGATTAACTGGAACGTCACTGTGGGGAGATTAACTGGAGCGTGACTGTGGGGAAATTAACCGAAGTGTGACTGCGGGGAGATTAACTGGAGCGTGATTGTGGGGAAGATTAACTGGAGTATGAGGAGAGGAGCATATCTACGATACGGTAACAGTAATGGAGCATTTGTGACTCAAAACACCAATTCGCATATTTAGAAAAACAGAAAGGAGCATTTATCCAACTTACCATCAGGCATAACCGGGGAGCGTGGCGAGCATGATAGCTTCATGAGGACCATAGCTGCGGCACACTCATCCATCTGGTCCTCCTCTGAGCGTGAGCTACGCCGCTTGCGGGACCTGCAGAAAAAGGAAAAATAAATAGCTTGCGTCAGTCAGGCCAGAGAAACGGATGTAAACATTGGGTGCCATGGCAACGGGAACGCTACTAGAATGTTGTGGTCGGTTACTACCTGACTACAAGGGTGGTGGTGGATTGCAATTTGACCTAATCTGGGTAGTCCAGCCGACGCATTGAGAGAGAGACGGACAACCTTCTCTACACAGGCCTTGGTTAGTGTAATTAACGAACCCAACCAGATAATACTCTACCTCAAAGACATATTTCTCTCAGTGTTACATTCAGAGAGTGAATGTCGAGTCCTTGATCCATGTGAGAGTATATTAAGTGGGGGTGAGGGAGGGAGGGAGGGGGGATCTCCTGTTTGTTTACATGGGATGGGAGTATATTTTCACAGGGATCAGAGCCGCTAGACTAAACTGAAGGCGGGAGACAGCTGACAGGGGGGGGGATAAAGGTAAATATGAAGATTCTGCGAGGAGTAGAAGGAGGAAGAGGAGGAAGAAAGAGAGAGAGGTGTTGGGTCAAGGTGTTGTGCGTGACGTGAGAAGAGGAGGTAAACTTGATCGATTCCGCAAGGAGGAGGAGAAGGAAGAACAGGAGGAAGTGGAGGAGGAAGAGGAAGAACAGGAGGAAGAGGATGAGGAAGAACAGGAGAAAGAGGAGAAAGAGGAGGAAGAGGAAGAGCAAGAGGAACAGGAGGAAGGGGAGAAAGAAGAGGAGGAAGAACAGGAGGAAGAGGAGGAAGAACAGGAGGAAGAGGAGGAAGAGAGGTGCTGGGGGTGAAGGTATTACGTGACGTAGGAGATATAGACCTGACGAAGCAACACCTGTCCGTCAGTTGCCAACACCGTCGTATACCACTTCTAAAGCCGACACACACACACACACACACACACACACACACACACACACACACACACACACACAGGCCACACACACACACACACACCTGTGAAAAATATCTCTAGGTCATCAATGCTCAGCACAGGTGGAAGTAACAGAGGTGTGTGTGTGTGGGGGGGAGGCATAGTTGGGAGCTACAGGTGTGTACAGGAGAGCGGGGGAGGGGAGGGAGAGAGGTAAGGGAGGGGGTGAGAGGGGAGGTGAGGTACACGTGTGCAGAGAACGATTTACAGGTCAGAAGTGTACAGATATTTGCTGGACTATGAGAGGTCAGTGACACTCGATAGCTGAGACAGATGTGTGTACAGTGCAGGTGTGTTGGGGAGGGGATTCAGCAAAATTACAGGTTTACCAATTTGTATGCACCCATTGTTAGCTCTCTCTCTCTCTCTCTCTCTCTCTCTCTCTCTCTCTCTCTCTCTCTCTCTCTCCAAAGCTTTCGTGACATTCTGAACATTCACCAAAACATTGTGGTAGTGATGGTGGTAGTGGTAGTAGTGTTTGGTGGTGATGGTGGTAGTGGTAGTAGTAGTGTTCTTGTTGGTAATATGTAGCAATGATGGTGATGGGAGTGGTAGTAGTGGTGGTAGTGTGTAGTGGTGGTAGTAGTGGTGGTAGTCGTGTGGTCATGATGGTGGTAGTGATGGTCGTAGTGATGTCAACACACACACATTTCACGGTCACTGCCACTAGGGCGCTGGCTGCTGCGTGCTGGTGGTCGATGTTGACACGAGCCGACAGTGCCAGGGGGGCCAATGACCTCTACCACACACACACACACACACACACGTTATATTGCCTGCTATAAAAAGTAAAGCGAGAGCCAAGGTTTGTAGCGCAATACCAGAAATTATAGTATTATTATTATTATTATTCATTATTATTATTATTTTTATTATTATTATTATTATTATTATTATTTTTATTATTATTATTATTATTATTATTATTTTTACTGTTATTATTATTATTATTATTTTTACTATTATTATTATTATTATTATTATTATTATTATTATTATTATTATTATTATTATTATTATTATTATTATTACCACTCTTACATAAGAATGCGCCAGGGACAGAGACTCGGTACACACAGGAAGCGAGAGAATCAATGAACAATACGACGAAACAATTGGGTAGGTCTTAGGCTTCAAGGTCAGTGCCTGCCGAAGATGATGTATTGTGAGGGTGATGGTGGCGATGGGTGGTGGTGGTGGTGGTGGTGATGGGTGGCCAGCCTATCGAGTGTGAGGTAGAATAATGAAGTGGTTAGCCTGTCCGAATCAAGCAGGAATCTAAGTGCACCTTCTCTTCCTCCTTCTCTCTGCTCCTCCTCCTCCTCCTCCTCTTTCCCCTTCCTCCCCTCTACTGGATTCACTGATAACATACGATTATACCTCGAACAAGGAAGAGGTGGAGGAAGACGTCCCTAATCGCTGTTCTTGCTACTGCTGGTGTCCTACTTAACTCACCACCCAGCAGTATCTCCCCCCTCCCCCCCAGCCAGGTGAAGTATAGGGCCGGGAGGGGTGAGTGACCAGAGAGGTAAACACGACCCATTGACCTTCACACCTGTCAACAATTCTCTGATACTTTGTAAATGTCAGGGGTGAAGGAATTATTAAAGAGGCCCCGACGGCGTTCTCTCTCCCACCCACCAATACACCCACCTTCCCTACCCACCGTCCCTACCCACCCACCCACCCACCCACCCACCGCCCCTATAGGTCAATGTCACCCCTATCATCAATGCTCCTCTTCCTCTCTTCCAACGTGGGGTACAACACTAGGGTGCCAAGTAGTGCCAACACCACTAAAACTACTGCAACACCACTACCACCACCACCACCACTACCACCACCACCACCATCACCACTACCACTACCACCATCACCCTACTCACCACCACCACCATCACCACTACCACCATCACCACTACCACTACCACCATCACCACTACCACTACCACCACCACCACCACCACCACCACTACCACCATCACCACTTACCACCACACCACCACCACCACCACTACCACCATCACCACTACTACCACCACCACCGCCACCACCACCACCACCACCACCATCACCACTACCACCATCACCACTACCACCACCACCACCATCACCACTACCACCACTCACCACTACCACCTCACCACCACACTACCACCTCATCACCACCATCACCACTACCACCATCACCACCTCACCACCACCACCACTACCACCATCACCTCACTGCCACCACCACCACCACCACCATCACCACTGCCACCACCACTACCACTACCACCACCACCACCATCACCACTACCACCATCACTACCATTACCATTGTCAATATTCCTCCTCTGCCTCCAGCGTCAAGGACAGTACCCGCGTGCCAGGCAGTGCCAAGGAATGCTGCCACTACCGCCGCCACCACCGCCACCATCACCACCAACAACAGCAACTCATAATATTGGAAAAATTCACCACACGACTTTAACACATAACTAAATAAAATCAAGTCCTAAAAATAAAAATAAAAATAGAACTATATGGAACTAAAAACTAAATTGAAACAGAAAACAAAATTAATTATTGAAATATGAGACCTGAATAGACACGACATTTATAAACGATGAACCAAGAACCAAGATGACAAACAAATAAACAAACAAACAAACATACATACATACATACACACACGGGGTGATGGCGATGACAGTGTGTGGCAGTGTGGTGACAAGGTGTGGTGACAAAGTGGAGGGATGTGGTAGTGGTGAGGGATTGGAGGTAATGAGGGAGAGAGGGATTGGAGGAAATGAGGGAGAGAGAGGGATTGGAGGTAATGAGGGAGAGAGAGGGACTGGAGGTAATGAGGGAGAGAGAGGGATTGGAGGTAATGAGGGAGAGAGAGGGACTGGAGGTAATGAGGGAGAGAGAGGGACTGGAGGTAATGAGGGAGAGAGAGGGACTGGAGGTAATGAGGGAGAGAGAGGGATTGAGTAATGAGGGAGAGAGAGGACTGAGGTAATGAGGAGAGAGGGATTGGAGGTAATGAGGGAGAGAGAGGGATTGGAGGTAATGAGGAGAGAGAGGACTGGACAATGAGGAGAGAGAGGACAGGGGAGAGTCGGACAAGGAAGCCCCGGCCCCATTATTGGGTTAATGACGACTATGTTATCAAACTCTTTATAAAAACGGACACAAAAAACCCCCACCAGATCACAATATATGTATCCTGGGTGCTGGGGGGGGGGGAGATTAAAGGTCAATCAACAAAGAGAGGGTCTGGGGATACTACTACTACTACTACTACTACTACTACTACTACTACTACTGCTGCTGCTGGTGGTGGTGTACTTAACGCCGCGGGGGAGTTATTTGTGGTAAGTGAACCCTCCTTTCTCCTCCTCCTCCTCCCACCCCATAGTTCCGAGGTCTTGATCATCATCCATTCACCTTCCTTCATCCACCAAACCCCGGCTCCTCCTCCACCACCACCACAGTTCTACACACAACCCCACAAACCACACCTCTCTTGTCACCCATAACATACAACACCTCTACGTGCCGCGGTTGTAATGTTAAACTGTGGTACAACTGGTTATGACAACGGCCCCCAACAACAGTGTCCTACAAAAAAAAAAAAAAAAAAAATCCAAAAAAAAAAAAAAAGTCCAGTTTGTGTAAATTGTCCACAGGTACTAACGAAATTATCAGCACTAAGGTAAGGAGGTATTTTACAGTTACATGACATACTTATATAAGCAATCTGTTATACCCCCCCCATCCTCTCCCTTTACATAGGTCAGGAATGTCACGAGGCATCGGCGAAGGATGAGAGAGAGAGAGAGAGAGAGAGAGAGAGAGAGAGAGAGAGAGAGAGTTGCCAAAACACGGACCTGTGACACAAATCCTCACCACATTATCCAGCCTCACGTTCTACTGGCGGTGGCCCCACAGATTCCCACAGAACACATAAATCGTACATTAATCTATACAAGACCTACGGTGACGGGGTGACGGGGTGACGTGGTGACGGGGTGACGGGATATTCATTTGTATACATGCTGAATCACTGTAAGCTTGTGTGACGATTTTTACTGATTATCTATCTATCGACAGTACTTATCTATCTATCTATCGACAGTATTTATCTATCTATCTATCGACAGTATTTATCTATCTATCTACAGTATCTATCGACAGTATTTATCTATCTATCTCTCTACAGTATCTATCTATCGACAGTATTTATCTATCTATCGACAGTATTTATCTATCTATCTATCTACTGTATCTATCTATCGACAGTATTCATCTATCTATTTACAGTATCTATCTGTCTATCTATCTATCTATCTACAGTATTTATCTATCTATCTATCCATCTACAGTATTAATCTATCTATCCATCCATCTGTCTGTCTGTCTAACCAGCCAATCCTACACTTCACAGGTAGCCAAAACAACAGGTGATATACAGGTACACAGGTGTGATTGACTCACTTTTTTGGTGTGTGTTATTTCCAGGTCAACGAACACTTTCAGAACTCATTAAATCATCCATTTTCTAACGAACCGACGAAGTAATGTATTCCTGATAACTTAATTGGGTCCTAAACAACTTAAAAAAAAATACTAAGATAACATCCAATTAAAGAGATAACATTAATTCTGCTTAAGTGACAACAAGCTATAATAATATAACTCAATATAATAATGTCATAAGCGCCAACACACACACACACACACACACATAGGATAACAGGAATTTTGACCCAACATCCATTTAGTAATCGGTGATATCAAACACTCCTAATTTACTACTGGGAGGGGAGGGGGGGGGGAGGTAATCGCGTTATCGAAAATGTCACAAATATTATCAGTTCCAATTAATTATTAGGCTATCTATCTGGTCGTGGATATCGTAATGGCTATAAACTTTGTTATGTTATGCAAGAGATCAAACTAACTCGTATATCCGACCATTCTTGAACACCACCTCCTCACCCTTGTACACCACCTCCTCACCCTTGTACACCACCTCCTCACCCTTGTACACCACCTCCTCACCCTTGTACACCACCTCCTCACCCTTGTACACCACCTCCTCACCCTTGTACACCACCAGGCGCAATAAACACAGCCTCACACTCACCCTTGTACACCAGAGGGGGCGGGCACGTCAATAGTCTGGGAGGACTTGCGTTCCTTGCGGTCAGTTGACATATCGGCGAGCTTGGCGAAGTCTGTGTCCTGATCGGCGAGGCGAGCAGACTTTCTCGACTCCAGCAGGCGAATCTCCTCAATCCTCTTCTTAACGTCTTGCCTCACGCCAGTCTACAGGAGAGAGAGATAGAGAGAGAGAGAGTTAGGAAAGTTTGTTCTAAAAAAAATTGGTTTAACTCACTTGGTTTACAGTCACGGCGTTTGTTCCGTGAAGCAGAGCGACGCCCTCAGCTATAGGCTACCAGGTGTTGGCTTCCGTGTGTGTACTGTGCTAACTACATAACATAACACGAAACACATAATATATTTCATTCATGTTAATATGATGGTCGACAAAGAAGTTCCCTCCTCCATCTAAAGAACAGGAATAAGCTTTGTAGATAATTTGTTTTATACCATGTGTGTGTGTGTGTGTGTGTGTGTGTTTGAAAATGCCTGGCTATTGTGCTGCTTAAGTAAATTCAACAAAATAGAGCACGCACACACACACACACACACACACACACACACACACACACCTATTAAAATTACTATCAGCATTGATGTTCTTCATGTATATTTTTTCAACATTAATTAATTTCGTTTTGCAAGGAGACACAATACATAACGGTACAGTGAATAAACTAAAAACACCGACTACGTTCATTCATTCATTACTTTTAAAAACAAAAGAATAACCTAATCTTCTTCTCCCACCACCACCACGTACTGGTGAAGGTTCACACACACACACACACACACACACACAATACTACTATCAATACTACTACTATTACTGGCTACTACTACCAATAATACCAATACTACTACCACACACACACACACACACAAATTAAATGTAGAAATTACTTGAGTATCCTTGAAAATACACTATAATATACAGAAACCAACTATACAGTGATAGATAGATAGCGAAGACACACTCACCAACCAGGAGACAGGTTTGGCCACGTGTGGTCAACTGGCCGGGGCTTTAAGTTTCGCTGCGACAAATTTTATAACAATCTCACCTGAATACTGTATACCGAAAGAGAAGGATGGCAGGTCTCTCTCTCTCTCTCTCTGTGGAGGTGCGGACTGCCAGGAGGCGACTGGGTAAATTACCGGTAATGGGAACATTTCCTAAATGATAGGTAATTGGCGGTGTGTCGCTGGACGGGCTAAAAAAATATTCCGAGTTTATTACCGTTTCATTCTCAGCGCACCTCTCCCCTTCACCACAAACATTACCAAGGCCCCTTCATCACAACCATCACCATCATCAGCGGCCCTTCACCATTACCTGCATGGCTGCATCCATTCACCACCACTAAACTAGCGCCCCTTCACCATAAACCATCACTATATATCATACACCACCCGGCAGTGAAACACTATACACTGTCCAACCCATTAACTTGTCCACGTCCAGAGTGCCTCATTCATGGCCTGGCCCGAGTGGTCGACCCTTACTGCCCCCAACAGTGTGGTGCAGCAGCCACACCACCACCACCACCCACCCTACACTACCACACAACAAATCCCCCCTCCCCCTCCCCTTCTCTTACCCCTACAACCACCTACACCTCACCACTCCTCTGACCATGACCACCTCCAACCATCTACCATAAAATTCAATACCAACACAGGTTAGGTTCCTCCACCATTGAAACGAACGCTGAGTTGAATCGACCTGCGCAGTCCGGAAGGAGATGGGCAAGAGGACCTTGGAGGGAGGCAGGGACGGAGTCACTACCACCACCACCACCCAAGGTTGCCCGGGTCTAGACGTCACTAGGCCTAAGAGCTCAAGGAGAGAGGTTAGAGAGAGGGGGGGGGGGGTTAGAGGAAAGACAGGTGAGAGAAAGACTATCCACCAGAAGCTCTTTACTTCCACCCACAACACACAGAGCTCTATGAACACAAGCTGTACTCCCAAGTTTGTTCCACTGTGCAACACTCGCTACCCTACCCTGGTGTTGTGTGTGTGTGTGTGTGTGTGACCTTAGTACAGTAAAACCAACCAGCTAAGAGGAGAGAGGAGGCGCCCAGCAACGTACATCCTCCCTCACACCGTACTCTTTATCACCAGCAGGACACACACACACACACACTAGCAGCCTCAATGACACTTTTTTTTAAACGATTTCCTTCCTCTCCCCCTACACGCGCCATTCCCCCCATTACAGTACTAAATTATGTTATTTTCTCTCACTGACACATACACATCTGTTCTCGTGAAGGTCGTGGGCGGGTGGTGAACAGGGGCATGAGGAAGGGCAGTAGTAGTGGTGGTGGGAAGAGAATTTAAGGTGTGGAGACAGGCCGGGTACTCCCAATAAGAGGGATACGTGACACCCTTCCCTCTCTCCCAGTCCACGGCCGGCCGGCCACCCACCCACCCACCCACCCACCCACACACACACACACACACACACACACACACATATAGACACACACACACAACTATCTTAAATTTCAGCCATCAAGTCTTACATAAACATCGTACACATCAAAACACAAACAAAAACATTTACTGGATGTGTCTTGTGTTAATAAAATTTTACACCGAGAATGTTTATGTGTGTTTTTTTTTATCAGATTAACATGTTAAGTCTCCACCCTTTACTTTCTCCTAGTGTCCTCCTTCTCTACTCCTCCCCCATCCACCTCCCACCTCTCCTCCACTCACCACCACCTTCTTTATCTGTCAACAAACAAAATATTCCACATCTAGACAGAAGCGATTCCTATCTACCAGTAACCTCCTCCTCCTTCTGTTACTCCTTCTGCTCTTCCTCCTTCTGCTATTCACGCCCATCTCTCCGTTCATCGTCCTTCCTAAATACAACAATACTTTCTACTACTACTCTTATTCTTCCTCTTTTTTTTTCGTCCTCCTCCTCTAATTCTTCCTTCTTCTTGTTCCTCCTCCTCCTTCGTCAGTCTTATTCTCCTCTACTGCTTTGTTCCTTCTGTTTACTTAATCTACCATGGGAGGTTGTTGTCTTTACCCCTGTGTGAAGGTTAGCTTGTGTGCCGTGTCCATCAAGCTGTCCCAGTACACATTAGCTTACAACGAGTGCAACGCCATGAGCTTAGTTAGTCACACACACACACACACACACACACACACACACACACACACACACACACACACACACACACAATGGCTGACCTACTTAAAACGACCATGGTATTTTTCTCAAGTTTGGTAACACTGCTTTTAAGGATCTAGTGATAAGACAATTCACAATAACAAAGTAAATAAAAAAAAATATATATATATAAAATGTAAAAATGTCAAGCAGCTTACCTAACGCAAAATAAAACTGGGGGAGGTCAAGGTTAAATAGAATCGAACAACAACAGACGAGACACAACAGATATGAACAACAGATGAGACACAAACACGAGCAACAACAAACACAAACAGACACAAACACAAACAGACGGGAGAGATAATTACAGGTGATCCCAAGAGACCTCAGGTGTTGCCAGGTACTGTGAGGATGGCCTAAAAGCGTGGCCTAGTCCTACACACACACACACACACACACACACACACACACACACACGCACACACACTTCCCAAGTCCGCGTCAGCAACCAAAATGCCCCCACCCCACCCAATAACTAGCCCACTCGCCACCACCAGCTATAGCCTACTCTCCACCAAGCTAGTCCACTCTCCACCACCTCCCACTCTTCCCCACCACCAGCAGCTAACCCCACCCAGTCGTAATTAAATCAACTGTAAATTACATACAGCTTCGACTGCCCTCAGATTTATTCACCTCGTACATGACTAGTCAACTCTCTGCCGCCCGCTGCTGAGCTTCGCCCCACGCCCTCCTAGCAACACACTGGCGGGGGTGAGAGGAGGGGTGGGAGAGGGGGACGATGCCAGTATATAAACACAGCAGGTCGCCTTCCGCCATCTTTACCAAGCCTACTGCTCCGTGGTGTGGTAATATATATAGGTATGCAACCCTCTGACTCGTGTTAAGTCAATTTTATCGAGTTAAAGTAAAATATCAGTGTAAATTTGAAGGTTTTTTTTTAATCTTTTAAGTCACAAATGAGCCATAAAATCATCCATCTTACATTTTCCACCTACGAGGATTTTTTTTATTTATTTTTTATCTTACGAGAGACTGAGAATGTGTCCTGAACATAGGGAGGAAACGACCCCACGACACAACGCGCGGGAAGGAAGAGTTTAGTCCAGGTGAAGTTAGCTGAAGTGGTCTATAGATTCTGGTGTGTTTATTTCCAGCACAGAGATTATCGTCACTTCAATTTTAGTTTATCTCCAATATAATAAAGACAACCATGATATTTCTAACCTAACCGAAAGCTAACCTAACCTAAACCCAACCTAACCCAACCTAACCCAACCTAAACCCAACCTAACTTCCCAAGGCAACATAAGTATTTTAATCATCAGGTGAAATAAGCTGGAAGAGGAGAGGACCAATTTCTTCAGGTGATCACAAATACTTCATCCACGACGCCTACCGGGTTATATACTCTACATCACGAACTATTTCAGGGTTACAACATTATATGACTTATTGAAACGAGTCATTATTTTTTGTGTGTGGGGAGGGGGGGAGGGTGGGGGGGTGAGGGTGGGAGGGGGCATTCTGTATGTCTGTCTGGTCCAAGTTCCTATAGGAGAGTGTTTAAGGTCAATGACACACACACACACACACACACGAGCCAGATAGTGTGCGTGTGTGTGTGTAACAGAAAAAACAAAGATCAACTCCACTAGAAACCATTAAATTCCTCCTCCTCCTCCTCCTCCTCCTCCATCTTCAAGTACTAGAGACCAACTCCACCTCCTCCTCCATCCTCGAATAACAAACCCAAAACCTAACTCCAATTAGATACCTCCACACCTCCTCCAACCTCGAGTAGTAGCTGCGTAGTAATACCTCAGCACAAAATCCTCCTACACCCCCAACCCTTGAAAAATTTTTAACCCGATAATCAATAAGGTGAATCCGGACAAACAAACAAACACCCATCACCAACACTTAACAAACTCTCTACCATCATTTGTAAATAAAAGAGATGGGGGGGAATGGGTGTAGAGAGGGGGAGGGGGCTGTATTAGGTAGGAA